CATCAGCTCGGACAAGTCCAAGTGAAACAATCTGAAACTAAAATTATGAATGTAATGAATAGAGAATAATACATTCGTATGTGCAGGCATCTCACCTAGCGTGTCATGCATATATCCCTTGTTGGTTTCGTCAATTTATATGTTAATGGGCATCAGAGTGTCACTTCGCTGAATTGAGCTGCTTTATACATTAATCACGTGTAGGATATTCAATACTCATTTCTCCTACTGACGATTTTCTTTGGAAAGCGGTTATTTGAGTATCTCTTACATTTGGTGTGCGAGTATCAAAGAATTGTTAAGAACACAACGCTCGCAATGCTTCGAATGTGGTGTGCGATATGAGCGATACGTGTCTGCGTGTTGCAGCAGCACCGATGCGTGTATACATTGTTAGGGGAGTGGTAGTGGTTGCGAGCGAGGCGTGCGGCGTGTCCGTCGGTCGAGTTTGCGTACTGCGGCGTGTGTATTATGATGTTTAGGCATTGTGAGCGCGGTCGTGGTCCCTGCGTACACTCATCTAAATAGCAATGAGGGCGTGCTTGGAAACGAGTTCTGATCACCATTGCGGCGTTTCTAGATGTTTAGTTGGCTTGATTGCTTCGGTTTTCTAGTCGACTACTCGGAAAGATTCGTTTGTTGCATCTCTACTGACGTGTTAAATGGTATTTAGTATTGAATTTACTTGATTTTTTCAAGTAAAATATGAACTAACGGGGAAAGAAATGTTGAAGGCGGTAGTCAAGTTATTCTCACGTGAACGATAAACCTATTACTATTGTAATGCAAATGCGTGCCTCTCAAACTAATGCCTACTTGCTCGAATACCCTTAAGGGTGAACCGTGAATGCGTCGGAGCTAATACATGCAAATATACCCCAACGCAAGGCGGGGTGCAATTATTAGAACGGACCCTATGTTTTCTAACATGGGGTTTGTTGACTCTGAAGAAGCGGTTAAAAGTCAAATTAAACTGACTCAATTCGTTCAAGTGGTATACGCTCTGAATTAAATGGGTGGTTGTTGCGCCTCCATAATTGCGAAGAGTGGCGGAGTAGAGGGTTCGACTCCGGAGAGGCGGGTATGTCCAAGGAAGAAGTGAAGGGTTTATCTGGGGAAAAGACTAATCAAGAGGTAACTTGACGTGATGTTTGCTTTGGTTTGAGTTTTTGGTGCTTGTTGTTGCATGTTGGGGGCTTTTATCGCTGTGGGTGCATGGGTTTTGGGTTTGCTTTGCTACCTAATGTTGTCCGTTCATCCGCTTGATATTAATCCTTGTCGTGCTCATGACTAACGAAACTGAATATTTTTTTCAGGTTCTACCAAGCTCAATGAATCAAAAAGCAAAAACCGAGCTCATACTCACCGAGTATATCAAGTGTTATGGAAGAAAAGCGGGGGAACAACTCCGTCAACATCTCGATTTTTTCGAGAACTTCTCAACACCGGATATGGTTGAGTACGCTCTGGACGCCTACCTGTCTGAAACACCGAGGTTTGAATTCGCCAGCCGAATAACCAAGGTGAAGTTCCTAAAATGCGAACAGTGCCAGTACGAGGGAACGACCGCGGAGCCTCAACAAGTCTTTCGGTTAGATTTCGCCAATCGACATTTCGCCGATATATTGAACGGACTGTTGCAATCAAGGGAGGAGACGTTGTGCAATGCTTGTGGTAGTACGTGTTCGGCCAAAACACATTTTGTGACTCCGCGAGCATTTCTCATCATCAACTCGACGTCGTACGCGATGGGGTCGGCAGTCCCCGGAGTTACACACGACAAAAAATTCGCTATGGCAAAAGCGTTTGTCGAGTCGTGGAGACAGGACCAACTGGATGTTTTAAATCGTGATCAGCTGGATCAGCTTCCAGAACGCCGTTGCGTTCGCGCTATGGTGGTTCAGACCCTGTGGTGAAGTAGCAAATCCTCAAAGTCAGTTGCAAATGCCTCTCGAAATGTCCAATGACTATTTCAGTTGCCCCAAAGCCCAGTGATCTTCAAACAAGCGTCTTCGACTACTATCGTGTCCCCAACGACTGAAAATCAAAAGTCCCTAACCAAATGTTCCAAAATTGGCATTCTCGGAGAAACGGTAAGCTCCAAATGCCTCTTTAATTATCGAGTATTCTGATATTTCAGTATAGCCAAATGCTACTATCGTCAAATGCATCTGTTCGTTGCTAACCCCATGTTCGAGTTGACCTAACCCTACGGTAAGTTTCAAATGCCTCTTTAATCGTAACAACCTATTTCAGAGATCTTCATCTGGATCATTCGATCATGATAAGTTGGATCATCGCAGTACGAGTATATAGGCTTTTTGCCTTTAATAAATTATAATAAATATAATAAAGAGTTTATTTAAAGCTGGCTAATTTTCGTATTCAAAACTATTTAGTTAATCCCTGAGCTGGGTTTTCAATATCGTGTGAGAGTCTTTCGGGTCTCTCACACGATAACTCTTTCAGATTGGCGAAAGAAGGTAAGTTTCGAAGCCTGACTGGGATACGGGAACTATGATATATTTGATCGTTGGTTTATATCAACGGTCCGTT